GAGGAGGAGGAGGAGGAGGAGGAGGAGGAGGAGGAGGAGGAGGAGGAGGGCGACGACGACTATGACATCCTTGTTGCTCTCTGAGCTTGGCTGTTTTCTTGCAGACATTTTTTTTTTCTAAATAACTTTTTTATCCAGTTTCTTCATTATAAAGTCCATAACAAAAATGTGCAGATACTGTACCTAGCTTCTGGACCAATACCAGCACAACATAATTTCAATCAAAGTAGGATATTTAACATCTAGCCTTCAGATACATATTCATATTAATGGGGCCTAGTCATGACTATCTTAAACTAATGTTCTCAGTAATGTTTTCAGAATTCAAATAGAATGGTGGAAAGTGTCCAGTGATGTGACATTACTTGGTTCCCAGGCTAAAAAAGCTGCACTTTTTTTTTCTTTTTTCTTTTGCAGAACTAAGCAACTTTGAAATGAGTGTGCTTTGTCTGACAGTTTTGTTCTAAGTAGATCCACCTACAGGAATCCATTTCAAGTGTTTCTACATTTGTATAAAATATAACCGAAAGACTATGTATGGAAACGTGAACAGGAAAACTAAGACTGATTTTAAAAATCCACGCATATGAAAGTTCTATATTTTTGTGGCTTTGTTTTAGATGGGAAGAAAACTAGTGTACCGGTCACAGCCTCCAACGACTTGCAGACATTTTATTACCCAACTAGGTAACATCATCAGTGGGAGGAGGAGGAGGGAGGAAGGAGGAGGAGGAGGGAAAGGAGGAGGACGATGACTATGACGTCCTTGTTACTCTCTGAGCTTGGCTGGGGTTTTTTGCAGACATTTTATTACCCAACTAGGTAACATCATCAGTGCAAGGAGGAGGATGACTGTGACATCCTTGTTGCTCTCTGAGCTTGGCTGTTTTCTTGCAGACATTTTATTACCCAACTAGGTAACTTCCTCAATGCTAGAAGGGTGTGGGTTTGTTCTTATTCGGTATTCAGAAGATTTAGTTTCCTTTCCTAAAACTCACAAACCTTGAGATCCCGATTGTAACGCCTCTTGTGTATTAAACTGTCAAGAAACTTGGCAATTACAACCAGCCTTTCCAGGCAGCACAGCACCTGTATAGAATAAGGAAATTCAACTTGTGGTTTGGAAGTCCTGGTGGGACGGCCTGCTGCCTTGTCTGATTGGAGCCACTTGGGTTTAAATTCACAAACCACGGCTAGGCCAGCTATGGCGTAGTGCGACGCACCAATTCTGTCCGTCTCCCTCGACTTACACAGAAGCTGCAGGCGGTTGTCTCTGGTGCTGAGTCTCGCCATTAGGTCCCCTGTGGTCAGCGAAGGATACGGGCAATGCAGCTCTCCGAGGAGGCCGCTGATTTCGATCTGAAACGTCTCGGCATCCTCAGGTCCTGATAGGGTGAAAGAGCATAGAGTTTTATACAATCAGAGTCTCAGTCATCCAGGTCACAGGTGTCTTAAAGATGCTTTTTCACAAGGCAACTGGACTTTCTCGTTTTCCTTTGAAGAAGCTTCTGGATGAGAAGCGGAAGGTCTTCAGAGAAAAACAAGAAAGTCCAGTTGACTCGTGAAAAAGTATCTTTGGGATCGTAATGATTTATTATTATTATTTTTAAAAAAGATTCTTATCACCTCCCCTTTAGCCTCTGCTCATTCTTAACCTTTCTGAGTTGCTCATCTAATAATAATAATAATAATAACAATAATAATAATAGGAAGAAGAAGAAGAAGAAGAAGAAGAAGAAGAAGAAGAAGAAGAAGAAGAAGAAGAAGAAGAAGAAGAAGAAGAAGAAGAAGAAGAAGAAGTAGTAGTAGTAGTAATAGTAGTAGTAGTAGTAGTAGTAGTAGTTGGAAGGGATCTTGGAGGTCATCTAGTCCAACCCCCTGCTCAGGCAGGAAACCCTACACCATTTCGGACAAATGGCTGTCCAGTCTCTTCTTAAAAACTTCCAGTGTTGGAGCATTCACCGCTTCTGGAGGCAGGTTGTTCCACTGGTTAATTGTTCTGTCAGGAAGTTTCTCCTTAGTTCTAGGTTGCTTCTCTCCTTGATTAGTTTCCACCCGTTGCTTCTTGTCCTGCCTTCAGGGGCTTTGGAGAATAGCTTGACTCCCTCTTCTTTGGGGCAGCCCCTGAGATATTGGAACGCTGCTATCCTGTCTTCCCTCGTCCTTCTCTTCCTTAAACTAGACATAACCAATTCCAGCAACCTTTTCTTATATGTTTTAGCCTCCAGTCCCCTGATCATCTGTAGCTTTCTGTCTTCCATCCATTCCCTTCCCCTTCCATCCCCTTTCTTTCTCTTCCCTTCCCCTTCCTTCCCACCTTCCTTCCTCTTATCCTTCCTGCCTGCCTTCTTTCCTCTTCTCTTCCCTTCCCCCCTCCCTCTTTCCTTCCCCCTTCCTACCTTCCCATATTCTTTGTACTCTCAGTTCTTTCACATGATCTAGATCAGTCAGGTTTGTTCCTCCCCATACTGTTGCCTTGAGACACAGTCCAAAGTCCCATCTCCACAAAGCCCCACGCCCTGATGGGAACCGCCCTTCCCCTCTCATAAAACCGAGGGACTTACCCTGCACGGGGCTAACGTCCTCCTCCAGCTTACAAAGACTTCGGAGCTCTGAAACCAGCCAGGAGCAGAGCGTCATGAATTGAGGGCTGGAGACCCCAGCTTCAGCCACCTGGGCGAAGGTTTTTATTGACGGAAATCTACAAATAACGACAGTAATAAAGCAAAGATAATACCAATCGTCAATAGGCGNCCTGCCCAGCCCAGGTCTGCCTGCCCCTTCAGTCCCACCTGGGATCCAATGTCCTCCATCACCTGAGCCACGGAGGACGCCGGGTCTGGCTCAGGCATCCCCAGGGCTTGGCAGATCTGATGGAGTTCTCGCAAGGCTGCGCTATTTTTGTCGACCTGCTTTGCTGACTGGACCTTTTTCCTGGCCTGGAGCCGAGCAGCCAGGAGCTCCGAGCTCAAAAAATCTGGAATGGAAGGAAGGGGGAGAAAGAAAGAAAGAAAAAAGATGGACACGGGCCAGTCAAGGCCTCTGTTCTCGGCAGCACCTAGTATTCAGAATAATGGAGTCCTTGGTGCGCTCTGAGCTTGGCGGTTTTCTTGCAGACGTTTCACTACCCAACAAGGTAACATCATCAGAGCTAGAGGGAAGTGGGGTTTAGGGAGGGGGGGAAGAGGAGAAGGAGGACTATGATATCCTTGGTGCTCTCTGAGCTTGGCTGTTTTTTTGCAGACATTTTATTACCCAACTAGGTAACATCATCAGTGGGAGGAGGAGGAGGAGAACTATGGGGTCCTTGGTGCTCTCTGAGCTTGGCTGTTTTTTTTGCAGACATTTTATTACCCAACTAGGTAACATCAGTGTGAGGAGGAGGAGGAGGAGGAGGATGACAATGACGACTATGACATCCTTGTTGCTCTCTGAGCTTGGCTGTTTTCTTGCAGACATTTTATTACCCAACCAGATAACTTCCTCAGTGCTAGAAGGGTGTGGGTTTGTTCTTATTCAGTATTCAGAACGCCTCTTGTGTATTAAACTGTCAAGAAACTTGGCAATTACAACCAGCCTTTCCAGGCAGCACCTGTATAGAATAAGGAAATTCAACTTGTGGTTTGGAAGTCTTGGTGGGACGGCCTGCTGCCTTGTCTGATTGGAGCCACTTTGGTTTAAATTCACAAACCACGGCTAAGCCAGCTATGGCGTAGTGCGATGCACCAATTCTGTCCGTCTCCCTCGACTTACACAGAAGCTGCAGGCGGTTGTCTTGGGTGCTGAGTCTCGCCATTAGGTCCCCTGTGGTCAGCGAAGGATACGGGCAATGCAGCTCTCCGAGGAGGCCGCTGATTTCGATCTGAAACGTCTCGGCATCCTCCGGTCCTGATAGGGTGAAATAGCATAGAGTTTTATACAATCAGAGTCTCAGTCATCCAGGTCACAGGTGTCTTAAAGATGCTTTTTCACGAGGCAACTGGACTTTCTTGTTTTCCTTTGAAGAAGCTTCTGGATGAGAAGCGGAAGGTCTTCAGAGAAAAACAAGAAAGTCCGGTTGCCTCGTGAAAAAGCATCTTTGGGATCGTAATGATTTATTATTATTATTTTTAAAAAAGATTCTTATCACCTCCCCTTTAGCCTCTGCTCATTCTTAACCTTTCTGAGTTGCTCATCTAATAATAATAATAATAATAATAATAATAATAATAATAATAATAATAATAATAATAATAATAATAATAATAATAATAATAGGAAGAAGAAGAAGAAGAAGAAGAAGAAGAAGAAGAAGTAGTATTAGTAGTAGTATTAGTAGTAGTATTAGTAGTAGTTGGAAGGGACCTTGGAGGTCATCTAGTCCAACCCCCTGCTCAGGCAGGAAACCCTATACCATTTCAGACCAATGGCTGTCGTCTCTTCTTAAAAACTTCCAGTGTTGGAGCATTCACAGCTTCTGGAGGCAGGTTGTTCCACTGGTTAATTGTTCTAACTGTCAGGAAGTTTCTCCTTAGTTCTAGGTCGCTTCTCTCCTGGATTAGTTTCCACCCGTTGCTTCTTGTCCTGCCTTCAGGCACTTTGGAGAATAGCTTGACTCCCTCTTCTTTGGGGCAGCCCCTGAGATACTGGAAGACTGCTATCCTGTCCCCCCTCGTCCTTCTCTTCGTTAAACTAGACATCCCCAATTCCAGCAACTGTTCCTTATATGTTTTAGCCTCCAGTCCCCTGATCATCTGTAGCTTTCTGTCCTCCATCCCTTCCCTTCCCCTTCCATCCCCTTTCTTCCTCTTCCCTTCCCCTTCCTTCCCACCTTCCTTCCTCTTATCCTTCCTGCCTGCCTTCTTTCCTGTTCTCTTCCCTTCCCCCCTCCCTCTTTCCTTCCCCCTTCCTCCCTTCCCATATTCTTTGTACTCTCAGTTCTTTCACATGATCTAGATCAGTCAGGTTTGTTCCTCCCCATACTGTTGCCTTGAGACACAGTCCAAAGTCCCATCTCCGCAAAGCCCCACGCCCTGATGGGAACCGCCCTTCCCCTCTCATAAAACCATCCCTGAATGGGACGTGCCCCGATTGCAGGAGGAGGTCGAATGTTTCTGAAGCCTCGAGACTTTGGTCGGTCCTCGTCTCGCAGTACTTAACTCCCGACCTCTGGGGTCGAAGTCGGTGGACCCGCTTCCAAAAATAACTGCCTTTAGATGTTTATTGCTGTCATTATTTCGTTTCTATTATGGTTAGCAGTTATCCGCCCTTGGGTGCAATCCCCAAACAACTGGAGCATCCCTTGAGCATCGCTGGCATTGGCAAAATCGGCACCAGTCCATTACAAAAGGCAGTTTTTTACTTGGAGGTTACTCTATGTTTCGACTGGGTTGGGCATTTTTGTCCACTTCTCGAGTCCTTCCCAAGGACCTGGGCGAGGCAGATGTTGTCTGATGGTCTTGTTAAAGCTGCCTTTTGCAATTGACTGACAGCGACTCAGTCAATGCCGATGAGGTTCAAGCGGTGCTCCAGATGTTTTGGGATGGCAGCCAACGCACCTTTTGTAATTGGCACAATCTTTGCTTTCTTTTGCCACAGTTGTTCTACATCAGGGGTGGCCCGCGGGTTGGATGCATCCTAGCGAAACCGCACCCGTCCCATTGCCAGCAATGGCAAAAAAAGGCGCGTTATGTTGCGACACGTCACGTGACGTTGCGAGTTTGACACCCCTGTTCTACCTCTATTTGCAAGTCTTTGCATTTTGTGATTTTTTTTTGACAGGTCTTTTTCTTCTCTTCTGCTGTCCCTAGGCCCGCTCTCCAGGCGTTCTTGTCTGTCTTATTGACAATTGTTAATTATTATTATTATTAGTGCTAGGTGCAAACCACAACCTCCTTAGCACTGGTGACTTGGGGAATGAAACAACTGAAAGTCCCCCATCCGGCTCAGAGACCACTAAGCACCCACTCCTAAATCCTTGAATAACAGGATAACAAAATAATAGAATAACAGAGTTGGAAGGGACCTTGGAGGTCCTCTAGTCCAACCCCCTGCTCAGACAGGAAACTCTATCCCATTTCAGACAAATGGCTGTCCAGTCTCTTCTTAAAGACTTCCAGTGTTGGAGCATCCACAACTTCTGGAGGAAGGTTGTTCCACTGATTAATTGTTCTCACTGTCAGGAAATTTCTCCTTAGTTCTAGGTTGCTTCTCTCCTTGATGAGTTTCCATCCGTTGCCCTTCCTTCCTTCCTTCCTTCCTTCCTTCCTCCCTCCCTCCCTCCCTCCCTCCCTTAGTTCCAAGTTGCTTCTCTCCTTGGTTAGTTCTTATCCATTGCTCTTCCTTCCTTCCTTCCTTCCTTCATTTCCTCCCTCCCTCCCTCCTTAGTTCCAGGTTGCTTCTCTCTTTGATTAGTTCCTATCCGTTGCCCTTCCTTCCTTCCTTCCTTCCTTCCTTCCTTCCTTCCTTCCTTCCTCCCTTAGTTCCAAGTTGCTTCTCTCCTTGGTTAGTTCCTATCCATTGCTCTTCCTTCCTTCCTTCCTTCCTTCCTTTCCTCCCTCCCTCCCTAGTTCCAGGTTGCTTCTCTCCTTAGTTAGTTCCTATCCATTCCTTCCTTCCTTCCTTCCTTCCCTCCCTCCCTCCCTCCCTCCTTAGTTCCAGGTTGCTTCTCTCCTTGGTTAGTTCCCACCCGCTGCTTCTTGTCCTGCCTTCAGGGCCTTTGGGGAACAGGCTGACCCCCTGGCTGAGTGGGCCCCCTGTCCAGAGGCTTCTGTGGCCTGCCGGGGCCTGAGCCTCGGGCCTTCCAGGGGAGAAGAGTCCCAGAGCTCCCCCGCCACCTCCTGCTCACACGGGGCTCCTTCTGCAACCTTCCTCTACAACAACCCTGCGAGGAAGGCCAGGCCGAGAAGGGGAGGCGGGCGCAGAGGCCCCCCGGAATCCTTCCCCAGCAGCCCCCCACCCCACCCCCGCGCGGCTGACCCTAGGCCCCGCCCCAGCCCCTGGCCCCGCCCCCGCTCACCCCGGGACGCCTTCCAGCTCCATGGCTCCGCTGGAATCTCCCCCGCGAACCGACCGCTGGTCGCGCAAGCCCTGTAGCCCCGCCCTCATCCCCCATTGGCCAGGCCGTCCGAGCTCTTCCTATAGACGTCAAACACCGCCCACCAAGGCCGCCAATGATAGCACGGGCTTGACCTCTCTCTCTCCCCCCTCTCTCCGAGGCGCCAATCCGAGGCGCCCCTGGCCCGGCGCGGAGCCTGGGATTGGCTGACGGCTATCATAGCAACCCAGGGGCTCCTCCCACTGTGCTTAGCTTTTCTTCCCGGCCAATCGGGAGTTCCTTCTGGCGGTGCGGTGGGGTCGGGAGGAGGGGGGGAAAAAAGGAGGGGAAAAAAAACAACTCCGAAAGAGAATCGCACCTCAGAACGCCCGCAACACCCGTCAGCCAATGGGAAGGCGCCGTCGCCGACGCCCCTCCCTCTTCTCCATGGCAACGTGCCAGACACAGAAGAGTATCGGGGGGGGGGAAAAAAAAGTATCAATCGTTGACCAATCAGAGCGCGCGGCCGGCTGCGGGGGCGGCCTTTGGAGGAACAGCTGGCCGCCTGGTTCCTTACGCGCTTCCATCCTGGCTCAGCGACGCGCCCGGCTTCTGAGCACGTGCAGAGTGCTCCCTTTCACGCCGAGCTTTCTTCCCTGTGGAGGCGTGGGTTTTACGTGTGTATGCACGAACACGCTTGTATGCACACAGAAGGGGTTCACGCACTCACACTCTGGCACGTCAGTGTAGTAAGAGGCTGAAAGAAGTCCCTATATTTTTTTCCTATTTATAATAATGATGATGATGATAATAAAGTTGGAAGGGACCTTGGAGGTCATCTAGTCCAACCCCCTGCTCAGACAGGAAACCCTATACCATTTCGGACAAATGGCTGTCCAGTCTCTTCTTAAAAACTTCCAGTTTTTAATTGTTGTTAATCTTAATTTTAATGCTTTGAATGCCTTTTATGTTTTCATGCTATGGTAAGCCGCCCAGAGTCCCTGGAGATAGTGGCGGGAATATAAATTTAATCAATAAATTAGAACAGTTTTTTTCTAGATGATTATTATTATTTATTATTATTTATTGAATTTATATACCGCCCTATCTCCCTTACGGGACTCAGGGCGGTGAACAGGCGATAATAAAAACCACGATAAATATACACAAGTTTCTGTTCTAAAATCAAATTAAATAACAGGCCTGCTCTAAAAGTACCCCATACAAAATCCCCACTAAAACATAATCAAACTACGTAAATATAAAGGCATTCAAAGCATTAATTCGAATGTTTTGAACGCCTTTGTATGTTTTAACACTCTTGTAAGCAGCCCAGAGTCACTCGAGATAGCAGTGGCAATATACATTCAATAAATAAATAAAAGATGACCATTTTCTCCCTTTCTTCAATTCACCAAAAAGAATTCAAGAAGTGTGATGTATGATGCAGAGGATGGAAACTGAATTCAGATTGTAAATAATGAAACCAACCAGCCAGAATTCCACTGCACTTGTCGGTATGGAGTTTTAAGATCGCAACTGAGAGTGAAACAGACTCTTGTGGACTAGTAACTTGGTCAGTTTGGTTTATGACCACGACTGTAGTTTATTAGCCTTAGATGACGACGATGGCTTTTTCCAATCCAAGGAAACGGATGTTAACTTCCGCCCAAATTTTTAGAGGGGAGCGGGGGAGAAGGATTACGCCATGAAAGTTTTAAAATTGGTGTAGAAAAGAAAAGGGGGACAGTTTGTGGTGCTGCACAAAGAAACCATTAACGATGTGCAAGAGAGGAGAAGAATCCAAACGCCAGGCTTAGCTTCTCTTTAAGTGTAACGTTTCCTTTTTAATTTACATCGTACAGTTTTAAATAATAAGAGCATTCTCTTTCAGTGCCCTCTGTGCCATTCTTTTAAAAAAAAAATTTTTTTAAAAATACACAGAAATCCCAATACCGAATATACAAATCTGATAAAATACTTAAAACAGGAAAGAAAATTAGCTTGGCAACCACATTAGAGGGGGAAAAGAAAGAAAAAAAAAGATGGAACGTAAAACTTCTGGTTTGGTTTCGGTCGACTCCTTCCCTTTGCAAAGACCTAAAAGAGAAAGAAAGCAACGGCCCAGCGTGGGGCACCCCCTTCGCCTCATCCGCCAGGATTGCCTTCCCTCTTCTTCCCCAATCTCAAGGTCTTGCCCCTCTTTTTAACCCAGCCTTCCCTGGGTTAAATGCCGGGTTATCTAGGCATTCGGAGAGTTGCGGTCCTAACGGATTCCGTACAACCCCGAGGATGGCTGGCTGAAGCAGTTGCCCCACGGATGGAAGGCAGCATCTGAAATTCAGGCTTTTTCCAGTTTAGTTCTGGATCCAAGCAAGAAATTAGAAACGTAAAGAGGAGAAAATGGGAGACACGTCGGCAGAATTCTATCGGCGAATTCTCTGAATGGGATTTAGCTGGAATAAGATCTGTGTTGCTTAATAAGAGAGATTGGAACCACGAGGAAAAGAAAGAGGGGAAGGCAACCCCCCCTTAATTTGGGCCAAATTTTAGGCTGACAGGAGTAGTCCTTGGCTGAACAAACAAACCATTCGTTTAGTGACCGAATGTACAACGGCACTGAGGGGGAAAAAAAAAAGGGATCTAAGACCATTTTTCACGCTTCGTGGCCATCACAGCATCCCCTACAGTCACGTGATCAAATTTCAGATGCTTGGCAACTGACATGTACTTAGGACGGTTGCAGCATCCCAAGATCACCTTTTGCAGCCTTCTGACAAGCAAAGTCAATGGGGGAAGTCAAGATTCAGTTCACAACGGGGTTCCTAACTTAAAATTCCCAGAATGGCTGGGCTGGCTGGGGAATTCTGGGAGTTGAAGTCCACAGGCCTTAAAGTTGCCAAGGTTGGAACCCTCTCCCACCGCCCCCCACCCCACCCCTCTAGTTAACTCTCCCTTAAGACTACCTAGTTCTCATTCTCGGATGCTTTGAAGCCCTTAAACGATTAAGGGCTTAAACTCTGAATCCAGCCAGCAAACTGGAACCTGGCATAATTTACATCAGAAGGATTTTAAAAATAAAACAACAATATTGGGGTTGCATCAATAAACTTCCTAACTAAACGATGACGTATTTACGATTCAACGGGTTTTTGTGCTTTGGAGATGTCATTGAAACGGATCACAGGAGAAAGTGAAGCTTGCATTATTATTATTGATGCCCAAAAGGGGAAGAAAACCCACCTGTCCCTTTGCTTTTCTCTCCCCCCCCCCCGTCCCTCCCAGTGGACCCCATCCCCTGCCCCCCCAAGTGCCATTTTCTGCAGCTCAATTCTGCAATGAAAAACCTTGCAAGGCCATATAAAAAAAAATTCTTCCTCCGGTGCTTCTGGATAGCCCAGGCTTTCGCAAGGAACACGCATGCTCTCCAACTGATCTACATAACAAACAGGAAGATAACAAGGTGTGCGTTTGTGTTTGTGTATACCCTGTAAACCGAACCCTGTCTGCGGGAGGAGCCTTTTGAAACAAGCCGTATAAAATCTCAGAAGCGAACCACGTTGATCCGGATTTGCTTTCGGACGTAAAGAACGAGGAAAAACACAAAAAAAGTAGAATTGTATATATTAAGGGGGCAGGATGTAGGCGCTATCTTAGTCACCCCAAAGATGTTCCTTTCCCCAAACTGGAATATGTATCTGTCCCGTAATAAATTTTGACCTAAATGAGGAAATTCATTGATTCCCCCCCCCCTTTGTGTTTTCTTCGTGGTCCTTTAAGCTTTACATATCCCACAAATACAAGTTTTAAAATTCTGGAAACACCCTACGCCGGTCTACAGCTAATCCTTGACTTACAAATGTTCATTTAGTGTCTGAAGTTACAATGGCACTGTAAAAAATGACTTATTTAATTTAATTTAATTTAATAATTTAATTTATATACCGCCCTTCTCCCGTAGGACTGGTTTTTTTTCACTTAAAACCACTGCAGCATCCCCGTGGTCATATGATCAAAATTCAGACGCTTGGCAACTGGCATGTACTTATGACGGTTGCAGCGTCCCGGAGTCATGTGATCACCTTTTGCGGCCTTATGACAAGCAAAGTCCATGGGGAAGCCAAACAAACATGTGATTAAGTTAACAAACGCAGTGATTCACTTAACAATTAGAGCAAGGAAAGTCATAAAATGGGGCAAAACTCATTTAACGACTGCCTTGCTTAGCAACAGATGTTTTGGGCTCAATTGTTGTTGCTTGGGATGGGCAAACAATAAAAGGAAATCGTGCTTTTAATGTGCTCTTCTCTGCTTTGTATTCACAGGCAACCCCAGTTCCTTAACCCGTCACACATCCTTTTACTTTCGTTAAAACTCTTCCGTTGGGTTCCGACAAACACAGCCTAAAGAGGGAACGGCAAGGCAGAAAACTTAAAACATTTAAGAACAAGAATTGTCCTTTTACATTTTAGGTTCAGAACTACCAATTTAAATGTTTTCAATCAGACTTTAAAAACGACCACATTGAGGAATGAGCCAAGCTCATCAGGGATGTCCAACCTTGGAAAACTTTTAAGACTTGTGGACTTCAACTCCCAGAATCCCCCAGCCTGCATGGTTGGCTGGAGAATTCTGGGAGTTGAAGTCCATTGGTCTTAAACTTGCCAGGGCTGGATACCCCTCCGCTAGCTCTGAACCAGCCTACAATTTTAACTCCTCTAGATGCCTAAAAACTCACCTACAAAACATCAAGATCCTTATGCTCAGATTTTAAAACACAGCCTGGGCGATTTTATTTTATTCTTTTTTTTTTTTTAAAGGGAAAAAAACATTTTTTCCATCTGGCCTTTTGCTAGAGGAAATCCACACATCTGCTTTAAATAAATTATGCAAACCCTACCGTCTGCCTATCAGATTATTTTGCATACATACTTCCTACAGTTTAGAAGCTTGGGGTTATTCACGAAAAATGTTGCTTTTTGCTTTTGAGTCGGGGAGGACAAGGGAAACGGTAAACCTAAATGGAGCTAAATTAAAGGATTTCTGAAAAATTGAACTCGTGGGATTTTAAGTGCTTTTATTGCACTGGTGGCTGGACTTGAATATTGTTGACAAACAAGGAAGAGGTCTTTTAAGATTCGGGGGGGGGGAATTTCTCAGCCCACCTGAAGACCTAAGATCTGTTTGTATGCAAACCAGATCTTATCTTTCCAGCTAAGCCAAACCCCATCTTGACATATCTTTTATGAACCAAAGTTTACCCACTTCCATGTCTTCCTTGAAGCCTCTAACAGAAATATAACCTGGTTAAAGAAGGTTGTGCGTTTGCATCAGGCGTTGTACGTTGTGCGTGGGTCTGCCACCCAGACACGTGCAGAAAAAGCTTGTGCCCAGTTCTACCGGGTAAAGCAGGGAGAGAAAGAAAGACGAACAGAAAAGCAGAGTGGGAAGGGACCTTGGAGGTCTTCTAGTCCAACCCCCTTGCTCAGCCAGCTTATCTACAGGTAGTCCTCGACTTACGAAACCATTCGCTGAGGGCCCGTTCAAGGTGACAATGGCACTGAAAAAGATGACTTACAACCGGTCCTTGCACTTAAAACCGTTCAGCATCCTGATGGTCAAATGGTCAACCTTTGAGCACTTGGCTAACCAGCCCGTACAGATAGTCCTCAACTTAACAATAGTTTAGTGACCGTTCAAAGTTACAACAGCACTGAAAAAAGTTACGGCCATTTTTCACAGTTACAACCTTTGTAGCATGTCCTCAAAATTCAGAGGCTCGGCAAGGGGTTCATATTTATGACCGTTGCAGTGTCCCAAGGTCACGTGATCCCACTTAACCACTGATCCACTTAGCCACTGTGGTAAAACTCATTTAACAAATGTCTCACTTAACAACGGAAATTTTGGGCTCAATTGTGATCATAAGTCAAGGACTCCCTGTATTTATGACGATCGCTGTTTCGCAACTTTCCTAGCCAAATCCCTGACAAGCAAAGTCAATGGGGGGGGCGGATTTGCTTAACGACGGCACCATTCCCTTAACAACCATGGGGGTTCGCTTAGCAACGATGGCAAAAAGGTCATAAAATCTGACGCAACTCTCAGAGCAACCGCCTCGCTCAGCCACAGAAATCCAGGTGCCCTTTGTAGCTGTAGACGTACTACCTTGACAGGTAGTCCTCAATTTACAACAGTCCACTTAATGACCAAAGTTACGATGGCACTGAAAAAAGTGACCGTGGACCCTTTTTTTACATTTCCGACCGTAGCAGCATCCTCCTGTTCATGTGATAGGTTCTCCTGTTTGAGCAGGGGGCTGGACTAGAAGACCTCCAAGGTCCCTTCCAGCTCTCTTCTATTCTATGCATATTCGGGTCTAGCTGGAATGGTGAAAGAGGAGAAGGGGGAGGGGTTGGGAGGGCTCAGAACGGCTCACTTAACGACAAGGAAACAAACCCACCACTCCCGTCTTCCGGACCCTCCACCCTACCAGCAAGCGCTTCTTGTTCACATCATTAAACATCAGGCAAAAAAATACACAGGTCGTCCTCGACTTAACAGCAGTTCATTTAACGACCATTCAACGTTACAACGGCACTGGGGGAAAAAAGCGACTTAGGACCGTTTTTCACACTTACGACCGTTGCAGCGTCCCTGTGATCAAAATTCGGACGCTCGGCAACTCACTCCTATTTACGACGATTGCAGCGTCCCAGGCAAGCAAAGATTCACTTCACAACCTTGTTGTTAATTTAACAACTGTAAGTTTCAAGGAAGGTCATAAAAGAGGGCAAGACCCACTTAACAAAGGTCTCACTTAGCGACAAAAATTTTGGGCTCAACTGTGGTCGTAAGTTGAGGACTACCTGTGGACCACGATGGGCCGGGAAGGGAAAAGGAGAACAGAACGCGATCCCCCCCCAAAATAGCCATCTTCTCACCCTGGTGAGCCACTCAGCCCGGGTCCTACGAGCAACGCTATTACATCTCAATCTTAAGAAGACATTGGGGGTGGCATGGGAAATGGGGGGGGGGGACGAGGAATGTATTACCTATCTGATTGAATTTGCCAAAATACACGGCTGGCCGGTGAGGTCCTTCTCGGTGGAGGTTGGCCAAGCCTGCCTTGGACTCATCCAAACATATATAGTAAGGACGGGCGGAGCTGATGAAGGATACCAATATCGGTAAAACGCGGGATGCTTTCGGAGTTCACAGTAAACTTTGGACGAAATTACGGCGCAGTCCTCTTATTTGTTTTCCCAAGTTCATCCTCCCCTACCTTAAAATAAACCCTCCCCAAAAAACGACCCCTAGAGAGAACATCGCAGGGAGGGGGAAAAAAAATACATGCCTGGTGCGTACCCAGAACAACATCTGACTGTAGAGTTACAAGAAAGGGTCACCTGCGCTTCGTGCTTTTCTTTTCCGGCAATAAAGAAATCCCAATTTTGGAACAGAAAATCGTCTCCCAAGAGGGCCACCAACCATCCTCACCGGGGGTCCTTTTCCTCAAAGGGATGAAAGGGAATGTGGGAGGGGGAGAGCTGGCTAGGGGAAGGACTGGAACCCCAGCAAGCCTCCATCTTGGGAGGAAAGCCGCCTGGCTTACGCCCGCCGCGGCCTGGGTGGCAAAAAACCAAACGGGGCGCCGAGGAACTGCTCAGTTTCTGGCCTGCCGAAACACGAACGGTGGCGTCGTTGGTGTCGCGAGTGGCGTCCTCATCGTCCGCACCTCCCCATCCATCGTCGTGTACGTGCCCTGGTGGTTCCTCTCCCACCGGTCTCGGTCGGTCGCCTACGTCTTCATGCCCACCGGCCACAGCGTTCTTGTTCCCAGGCTCATAAGGGGAAGACTCAGGCTGTACGTGTGGTACAGCATGCTCTCAGCGCACCACATACAAGTGAACTGGTAGACGCAGTGGCCGATGGGGTCCGGCGCATCTTGGCACTGTCCCCGCCCGTTCTCCTCATTGTTAAAGACGTCCCGGCAGTAGACGCACCGCGAGGGCACCATGTCCTCTTCCACGCCCATGATAACTCCAGAGGGCGGTTGCGGTGACTGCTGCTGCTCCTTCAGCGGCTTATGTTTCATGGGGGAGGAGGCCCCATGGATCCGGCAGGAGGGTGAGGCCTTGGGGTCCTTGAGCCGCCCTTCGGCTCCAGGGGGGAAGCTGTACTCCTTCTCCCTGGGGGATTGGCTGCCCCTGCCGCCCTTCTCAAAGTGTACGCACAGGTCGATCTTGTCCGGGTCTGGCTGGTGCTTCTGAACCACAGCCCGCCGGTAGTCCTCGTAGCCTTTGGTGACCCAAGGGCAAGGGGTGATGCTCTCCAGCTCCTCTTCCTCTGGGAGAGTCAGCTGCTGCAAGGGCTTGGCTTGCACCTGGGGGGGTGGAGAAGAAGAAGATGGAAATCATGTTCTGGGGGTTCAACAAGGGGAGGAGGAGGAGAGAGAGGAGAAGGACAAAGACAAGACGAGGACGAGGGGAGGAGAGGGGAGAGCAGAAAAGGGGGGAGGAAACAGGAAGAGGAGAAGGAGAAGGAGGAGAGGGAGATGGAGGAGGAGGAGAGGAGAAGATGATCCTAACTACGCACTGGTCCAGCTGAGGTTGCCCCTTGTGTTGAACTGAAGGGGAACTCTTCAGAAAGAGGGGTGCGAATGAAGCAAGTGGAGGAGGACTCGCTGGTCACAATGGTGATGGGTTTGGGGAGCATCTCCTTCTGGCTGTTTGAGGAAGACTCGCTGTCCGTGCGCGCCTAGAGAAAGAAGACACAAGGCAGAGGTTATGCTGAGTCCAAGAGCAGGTCCTCAAGGCTTTTCATTCAGTTGCCCCTAGCACAAGGTAGACCTGAGCCCAAATGAGGAACCCAATTTTACAGGTGGTCCTCCACATATGACTATAATGGAGCCTGTCCATCAAGTGAATGCCGTTTTGCCAAAACGGTCAGATGATGCTCCAAGTGGCAGGAAATGCCGCTAGGCTGCTGAATGTCTGAAAGAGGGCCCGACCACTGGAAATTTGAATCCAAGTCATAACTGCCCCTTTTTCAGGTTGGTTGTAACCAAGCGACTCATCATAAATCAAGGGCTACCTATAATGTTAAAAAAAAATGGATTTTTCATGAAACCTGGTCAAGACGCCCACAGCTTTTGCCAATTTGGGCTCTTTGGCTGTGAACGTCCAGATTTCATGGTGACCTCAAACACCTAGAGATGACAACCGAGTATCACGGATGCTACTGCTACAGGTAGTCCTCAAGAGATAACTACAATTGGAATCAGAATTTCCGTCGTACATCATCATGGTCATAAGTCGAGTCAGATCCCGTTTCACCACCATTTTTACAATGGCCGTTAAGTGAATCATCATGGTCGTTAAGCGAATCCATGGTTGCAAGTGCAAATCCATTCTTTTGCATGGGGGCGTTTTTTGCTAGAAAAGGACAAAAAAAAAATAGTGTACTAGTGTTCTACGGAGTTGACCAACATTTCCGTTTAACCAACGGTTCACGGGCTTAACACTAGTACACTGGTCCCCCACCATGCTGCCAACATTCATGCTCACAATTCTATAAATTTAAGCGTCGACCTCGTTACCCCAACTCGGTCTTGTGTGTCAATACCAACTGGCCAACTTCTCACAACTGAGAACGCTGAGGCAAGCTGCACTGTAATTGGCTGCTTTGGATGTGGAGGGGAAGTTTCCCTTTTTTCCCGCTTTTTCTTCGGCGCTCTGTGATTTACCTCATGATTCCTACCTCATGATTCCCATTTACCTCATGATTCCCGTTTACCTCATGATTCCCATGATCTAGTTTGCTGTATATGTTGATGTAAAATATATTTATTTATATAAAACTGCAAGTTCAACGTCTCTGTCTTTATTTGGACACCTGCTGTGCAATTCCCTGACAACGAGGACCAGTGGCAGATCATTTTTCCCAGTGCCATTGTAACTTCGAATGGTTGCTAAAAGAATGATTGTAAGCTGAGGACCACCTGTATTACCACGCACTGGAGCATGATTTGAACCTCACTCTGGCCATCCAAAGGGCAGAAACTTGCTTTAAAAAAAATGTTGTTTTTCAATTCAAGCCTTCCTCGGCTAACACGCATGAGAAAAATCGCTTTACAATAATCAGGAACATTCAATTTGAAGTAGAAAACCGACTCACAGTAAGGGCTTCATCCCGACTAGCTGCTTCATCCTCGGAGGAGGAAGAGGAGCCGGTGGCACTGGAGCAAGGTGAAAAAGAACCTGGAAGATGGAAGTAAAAAAAATATCTAAATATGTGCACAAAATTATACCAAAGTCCTTTAAAAAAAAATACAATGATAGGCCTTTATCCTGAATGAAATATGCAAAGGTGGGGGGAAAAAATGAAAATACATTCTTCAGGGCTCGGCCGGCTTATAAGAAAATTTAGGAAAAGTGCCTCTAGTTTGGTTTGTAATTGTTTGTTTTTAATTTTTTGTGGGTTTGTGTGTGTTTTGGATTTGCATCCTGCCGTGAATCTATGGGAGCTGCCAGCTATTATACATTTCAAATAGCAATAATAATATCAGTAGTGATAGGTTCCGAGGGTGCAATCCCAAGAGAACTGGAGCTCCATTTTCGGCATTGACAAAGTCACCATCAGTCAATTACAAAAGGCAGCTTTACTCGGAACAGCTTACATCCTGGGATGACACGTCTAACACCATCAAACATCCACATCTGCCTATCCCAGGTCTTTGGGAAGGGCTCGATAAATGGATAAAAATGCCACATCTGGCTGACTGTACGATGAACAATAATAATAATTCCAGAATGAACTCCTAAATTGTCTAAGCTACTTCAAGAAATTCTCCTGTGCTTCCTGTGTCCATTTTGAGTATGGCAAAACCCTGGTAGAAGACAGTGCTATTACTCAACAGTTCAATAACTCTCTGTAGTAATCACTATAACGCTACAACGTGTTTACAAATTACTCCTATTTCAGAGATTGGTGGAGCCAGAGAAAAAAACACCTATGAGAAGTTGATCGATTGCTGCCAGCTTTGAACCTGAAATTTTCCACTGTGACGGGCTGAAAGGAAGCTGCCATACTCCACAATGGCTCAGTTGCATAGAACGGTAGCCCCCCTCTTGCCTCCCCCCCTCCATTTTTCCTGTAGCCCCCTCACCTTCCGTGATCTCCTTCAGAGCGGCTTGCACGCCCTTCTCAAAAGTCACCGCGTCTGCAGGGCTCTGAAAAGTGAGGCCAAACTTGTTGTCCCCCACTTTCCAGTGGTGGAAAATGGGGTTCACCTTGTTGTAGACCAGGTCCCTTTTCAAGGTACACTCCAAGATGGTCTGCAGGACAGGAAGGAAGAGGAGGAGGAGGAGGAGGAGGATGAAGAGTGGATGATGGGGAGAACAATTGAAGAATACCTCCCCCCCCTAGCTCGTGCTGTCCACCAAGACTACATTGACCTAAATGTGGAGAAAGGCTGACTTTTGCCCCTTGAGCCAAAATTAATATCCTAAATTAAAGACTGCTGCAGACTTACTGGGTTAAAGGCAGCATCCCCCCCCCTCATGCTCTGTCACAGAGTTCCCCAACATTTTTGAGTTGGCGGCCCGGAGGGGAGGAAACAGGGGATGGTCTTCTGGGAGGGGTAGGTGCATGTGCACATGCGTGCAAGCACCCGTTGCTCATGCGAGTGGGGCCCACGAACGTCCGCAATGCTCGTGTGAGTGGGGCTGCGCGCACACATGCACGCACCGGCCAGTGGCCCGGTTATGAATAGGCCACGGACTGGTCGTGGGCTGCGACCCACAGAGTGGGGACCCTTGCTCTATCACCTCCTGCCATGGAAAGAGAGGGAGGGTCTTCTAATGTAATCTTAATCTCTTTGGTTTGCAACGGTCTCCCTCTGTCCCGTCTCCCCATCCTGTCAGTCTCACCGTCTGGTCCCGGAGACGCTCCCCGTTGATCAGGTACTGGCAGCGCTGCTCTTCGTCAGGGTGCGGGATTTTACAGAGGGTCACATGGCTTAGGCCGCCACCACCCATGGGCACCCAACCGCCGCTGGAGTCGTCTCGGGTCATCACCACAGCACGCACCCGAACCATGTAACTGGGGGGAAACGGCGGAGAGGAAGGATCAGGGCAAAAGAAGGCCACCCCTCAAATCAACCTGGGCCGTTGCTTTCCCCACCAGTGAGGTCCACCAAGCTTACGGCTCCATCGCTAACTCAGCAGCCCAGCTATCCCGAGGCTGTGTAAGCTGGGGTGGTGGCATTTATGTATCTAGGAGGCACCTGTGGAGAAGGTTGATCTAAACATGATCTCCCCCTCCAGAAATTCAAGTCTGCTTGTAGGATCAAGTCCCTGAACTAACTGAGAAGGCCCTGGATCAACAACTTCCAAGATGGCGCGTTCTTCTCGTAAGCTGCAAGCTAGCTTTTGAGGAGTCACCAAACGTGGTGAGGTTGTGAAGAGATTGAATGAGCTTCTCTGCAAGCTCTGCAGAAGTTGTGGGTGCTCCAACGCTGGAGGTTTTTAAGAAGAGATTGGACAACTATTTGTCTGAAATGGTGTAGGGTTTCCACCTTGAGCAGGGGGTTGGACTAGAAGACGTCCAAGGTCCCTTCCAAGTCTTGTCATTGTGTTACACTTCTAGTTCAAGGTTCTACGAGGTTCACGTGGCATAAAGTTCCGGTTAGTGGTAACTAAAGAGTGTATTTAATGCACCTGCTTCGCTTCTACAAGCTGCTCTGGGTGTCACAATTTCTTGTCGTGGAGAAAGACCAGGCGGCCTAACGGGTAAAGTACCGCTTGCTTAAGGCCCATCATGAATCTGCCTCCTTCACCTGGAAGCCACTTCCTCTCCACGTGAGAACAGATCATGATATGCAAAGCAGACTTCAGAAGAAAAACAGGTCCCACGTGGACATTAAATATTCTCATTACTTATTAAGCCACCCACACAGAGAATAAGAAAAGGGAGTTCAGATATTTCCCCCCCTCATATTCACGTGGGGATAGAATTGGTTTTACCTGCAAAGATAAGGCATTTTACCTACAACCCATCTTTTGCAGCAAAGTTCCCCAGGCGGATTTTTAAATTAATGTATTGTAAATAAAACCAACAATCTAAAAGAATTAACAGAGTTGGAAGGGACTGTGGAGGTCTTCTAGATTAATCTAGTCCACCCCCCTGCTTAAGCAGGAGACCTTACACCATTCCAGACAAATGGTTGTCCAGTCTCTTCTTAAAAACCTCCAGTGATGGAGCACCCACAACTTCTGGAGGCAAGTTGTTCCACTGGTTAATTGTTCCAACTGTCAGGAAGTTTCTCCTTAGTTCTAGGTTGCTTCTCTCCTTGATTAGTTCCCATCTGTTGCTTCTTGTCCTGCCTTCAGGGGCTTTGAAAAATAGCTTGACTCCCTCTTCTTTGCGGCAGCCCCACAGATATTGGAAGACTGCTATCATGTCCCCCCTCGTCCTTCTCTTCATTAAACTAGACATACCCATTTCCTGCAACCGTTCTTCGTATGTTTTAGCCTCCAGACCCCTAATCATCTTTGTTGCTCTGTTCTGTGCAATTTCCAGAGTCTCAACATCTTTTTTTAATACGGTGGTGACCAAAACACCACATTATGACATTATCAGCATATTATAAAATTATCTACAAAAGTAAAAGCCACAAAAGTTAAAAAGACAAGACCCCAAAAGACTGAAAACCCAAATTCGGTAGAAGCCCTGGAGAAACCTGTCTCTCGAGCAGTGGAAATTAAACAAGGATATAAAGAAGCAAAAGACATGGAAAGGAGTGTCTTGCTAAACAGCTGGCTGAAGGTAGCATTATTATACGGTACTAACATCTCCCCTAACTCTACAAAATTCACCTTCACGCAAAGGATGGATTTGCAAAACACAGCGGAACAAGCCGAAAGGAGGTTGAGTCGTTGACGATTCATCCCCTTATGGAAAACTAGTTCTTGTCTGAATGTGTGCGAAAAAGGCCATCGTGTTAAGCTTTGGCCAAAAGACACGTGGACTTCAACTCCCAGAATTCCTCAAACCGGTTGAGACACATTGCTCTAACTCGTCAAAGGTAAGAAGCTCAATAAGCAGAGGTCTTCAAACTTGGCCCTTTTATGACTTGTGGACTTCAACTCCCAGAATTCCTCGCTGGCTGAGGAATTCTGGGAGTTGAAGTCCACAAGTCATAAAAGGGCCAAGTTTGAAGACCCCTGCTCCATAGGAGTATAAGGATTTATGGAAGAGACTCACAAATCCAACTTTTCACCTGACATTCTCCAAGCTGCCATAGATGACGATCTAAATCAGTGTTTCCTCAACCTTGGTTTGCTTGAAGATGTGTGGACTTCAACTCCCAGAATTCCCCAGCCATCATAGTCCACCCATCTTACAGTGGCCACAATTGAGAAGCACTGTGTTGAGCCAACATTACGGCTTATTTGCTTGTACAAAACAGGTCAACACAACATTTCTGGTTTGTTAACTTGAGTCTCGGGGGTAGCGTCCTGCATGAATCTAGTTTAGGGTTGCCAGGTGTCCACTATTTGAGCGGACAGTCCACTTTTTTCACATTATGTTCACTATTTTTTTTCACAAAATAGTGGACATTTTTTTTATTCAAAAGCTTTATGATGAAATGGTACGTAATCTAAAGCTGTACAGTCTACTTTTTTTACTACTTAACACCCCCCCCCCCCGCTTGTCCACTATTTTTTGGAAGCAGACCTGGCAACCCTAATCTAGTTATACAAGAGCAAGCCGAGAATCAAACCCTGAAGATGGGAATTCTGGGAACTAGCTGTGGGAGGACTCAGATTCTAGTCCTCTGTAGGACTTTGACCCAATCATACTTTCTCAGGCTGGCCTCCCCGCTAGGGCTGTAGTTCTGTAGGCTTCATAAATCTCCCGAACAAAAGAAATAAAGGAAGGAAAACAAGAATTTCATGCAGAAACTCCGATTCAAGCATTAAACTCTAATCCAGTTGGCCAAACAGGGCTGGCCTTACTTAATCCCCGAATTTCCTGGCCAGCACCTTTAAGATGTCTGGACTTCGGGGGAATTCTGGGAAATGAAGTGCCCCCATCTGGAAGGGGATCAAGGTTGAGATGCATGGTCCCCCCTCTTCTCTCTCCCTCCCCAACTTCCCTTCCTCTGTTTCTCCACCGTTTGCACACAGTAGCTTCAGCCACCCGGCCTCCTCGTAATCTCACCCTTCAGCAAACAGATGCTTTTCAACATCTTGCTCTCCACGTTAATGATTAAACTGCCTGAAATGGGAGCGAAGGATGTTTGAGCTGGTGGAAAGAATTCACAGGCAGCTGGACTGAAGTAGAGGGTCTAACCGGGACCTTCCATATGGGTTGGACTTCAAGTCCCAGAATCCCCCCCAGCCAGCAACTCAAATTGGGGGAGAGAGGCCTTCTAGCTTAATGTATTTGAGACTTCCTTGATTAGGGGGCTGGAGGCTAAACCATACAATAAAAAAATTGCAGGAACCAGGAAAGTCTAAAGAAGGACTAGGGTGACACAAAACTTACAGCAGTTCATTCAGTGACCGTTCACAGTTGCAACGGCACTGAAAAAAGGGACTTATGACCTTTTTGCGCACTTGCGACCGCTGCAGCATAGCCCAGGATCACGGGATCAAAATTCAGACATGTGGCAACTGGTTCCTATTTATTGACCGCTGCAGTCTCTGATCTTCTTTTGCCCCTTTCCGACAAGCAAAATCAAGGGGGGGAGTCAGTTTCAGAAAACGTCGGAAAACTGCAAAATCCCCACTAGCTTACTCTAAGAAATGATGGACGAAGCCGATCACTGCTGCAACCGGAGATTTAAAATCAGGATCTTCTGTTCAATTCGATTGAATCGAATTCTGTTCAGTTCAATTTCGCAACCTTGGTAGCTTGAAGATGGGTGAACTTCTTGGAATTCCGGGAACTGAAGTCCATCCATTGGCCAAGGTTGAGAAACCCTGATTGAATTAAAGGACACCCACTTTAATTCAACCAGAGCTACTCAACAGATCAGAATAGTTTCTGGCTTCTCAGAGACCAAATTGGGATGGGGTATGTCTAGTTTAATGAAGAGAAGGACGAGGGGGGGGGACATGATAGCAGTCTTCCAATATCTGAGGGGCTGCCCCAAAGAAGAGGGGGTCAAGCTGTTCTCCCAAGCACCTGAATGCAGGACAAGAAGCGACGGATGGAAACTAATCAAGGAGAGAAGCAACCTAGAACTAAGGAGAAATTTCCACACAGTGAGAACAATTCACCAGTGGAACGGCTTGCCTCCAGAAGTCGTGGGAGCTCCATCACTGGAAGTTTTTAAGAAGAGATTGGATAAACATTTGTCTGAAATGGGATAGGGCAGGGGTTCCCAACCGCAAGTCCGTGGACTGGTACCGGGCCGTGGCATGCCAGCAACCAGTCCACACAAACAAGCAAAGCTCCATCTGTGGGATGCAGGCAGCACACAAAACCACACACCCTCCGGTCCGTGGAAAAACCTCTCTCCACGGAACTGGTGGTCCCTGGTGCCCAAAAGGTTGGGGACCTGTGGGATAGGGTTTCCTGCCTGAACCAGGGGGGTTGAATAGATGATCTCCAAGGTCCCTTCCAACTCTGTTATTCTGTTATTCAAAGGATGCAAACCACCAACTTGTATCAGCAAAGATCAGATTCATTTTAGGTCCAAGCTAATGCATCGTTTCACTATGAACCCCTCTGGGTCATAATCTAAATTCCTGGGTCCCTGCCCACACAAAATTCCTCTCCCAGGCAACCAGCTAAGAGATACTTCGTGTTCAAGGTGTCATACAAGTTTATAAAATAAATAGCATTAAACGTCCACCTGGTTAAGATCCACCTCTTCTGCTCGGGAGATGACCCAGAAAGAGCATTTTTCTCCCCCCCCCCCGCAAGCAAATCTGCACCTTTTTCCACCTTCGCATCAGTTTTGCTGACTGACATCACCTCCCCACAATCCAACCCCACCAGTGTTTGTCTCCACAGAGCTACCACGAAAGGAACAGGCATGTCCTTTCAGCTGATCAATCAATCAATCAATCAATCAATCAATCAA